CCGCGGCGGGGACCAGACCCCCCCACCCCCCCGCCGTGCATGGAGCAGATCCACTCCCCCCCCCCACACTGCGGGGAGCAGATCCACACCCCCATCCCCTCCCTCCCCCGCATGGAGTAGATCCACCCGCCCACACACACACGCTGCGTGGAGTAGATACACCCCCCCCACACACACTGCGTGGAGCAGATTCCCCCCACGCAGTGCACGGAGGGCCGCGCTCCTTTCCTTCCCTCCCGCAAACACAACACAGTGTGGGGTGCTGATCCCCACCCATTCCTTCCACTCGTGGCAGATCCCCACGCACACGCACCGTCTGGAGGAGACGCTCTCCCTGCCCTCACAGAGTTACGCCATGGACTGCAAAGGCAGAAGAATGGGGCGGTCCAGGTCGCAGGTACTGTTCCAGCCTTATGGAGAGAGCTTTTCTGTTTTTTTCCTATTTAACTGTTAGCTTCTCTCAAGCATGAAAGTTGAAACCGTGGAGAACAACTGGGGAGTGCGTTCCCATTGCCCTGGGGACCCTTTTCCCTGCATAGGACATAACCTGGACTTTGGGAACCGCTGCCGTACCTGCTACATCCATTCACTGTCAATCTCATAACAAATTGATAGTCCTGACAGTCACCAGAGCATCTCCCAGGTTTATTTTTATTTCTCACAGCTTCTACTTAGGGTCAGGTAAAAGGTCAAATACAGTTACGTGCACACCTAGTTACTTGAAGCAAGTAATTCATCTCTTTGTTGGATGCACAGAAGTCTATATTGCAAGGGAGCCTGCCGCAGCTCTGGTCAGGGACCTCATTCCTCTGATTTCTAAATATAAAAAAAGGAAGATAACGTAGAGGTTATTGGAACAATTGAATTATTTGTGGGGTTGCTTCAGGTCTGTGGCTGTTGCATATGTTCTGCTATATTACTGGCAAAGAACCAATATCTCCCAATTCTGCTGAAAGACTTGGATTCTTAGTCGATGATACCTGGTCTGCCTCTTGGGAGGCACCAGAAGGCCTTTCAAAACCCCCTGGTTTTGCATAAGTGCCAATTTCCAGCCTTCCTTTGTGAGGACACTCCAGTGCCTGAGCGGGAGGAATACAGCTGTGGCTGCCAGGCGGTTGGGCACAGGTCTTTGTGGCACTTGCTGCATAGGAACCGTCCTCCGCTGCAGCCCTCCAACTCACCTGTCCTCCAATATCACGACTTTTGGCTCGCAGCTTGTTAACCTGACATTCAGCAATATCAGCTCGTTCTTCAGCCTCTTCCAGCTCGTGCTGGGTCTTGCGGCATCGTGAGAGATTAGTGTTTGCCTGTTCTTCCTGAAAGTCATGCAGTGCCATCAGTGACATGGACACAAACTGACATCGCCCTGTTACCATTAACCGAACACCCTATGGCTGCGCCACGGTAACATCACCTACTAGTTAGCCTCACAGCTACACCCTTGCATTGCCAGCACTCCGTGCGTTTCTATCTAGTGCTGTCAACAACACGAGCACTCAGCTGGGGACATAACAATTAGTCCCTCTCAGTTCCAGCTGGGAAAATCGGCTAGCATGACTCCAAAAGTGCAACAACTCCAGGATAACTACAGCTGCGCCTGCTCTGTTGTGAGCCGTAAGTCTTTACAAGGTAAGGAATATTCAAAGGCAGTGGCCATAGCTGCCCTATCAAACTGAGTATTCAATTATTTTAATGAACTTGGGAGCCTAGACCTTTTGGAAATCTCCACCCAGGGCCCACGAAGATTTAAAGAGTCCTGCACTCACAGCTTCCTCAGCCTGTTTCTTGTATGCTTTCACTTTTAACTGCAGCTTGTCCACCAGGTCCTGGAGCCGGAGAATATTTTTCTTATCCTCTTCGGACTGTGGGAAGTGAAAATCAAATCAGCCTCGGAAGATGGACTGAGGTGTTGCATGTAAGAGGGCAGAGGATTTGAAATACCTGATAAGTGAGCTCCTTCAGCCTTCGTTCATACTTGCGAGCACCTTTCAGTGATTCTATTCCTCGTTTCTGCTCAGCATCAAGCTCATTTTCTAACTCATTAATCTGAAACACAGTATCATGGTGAAGACAGCAAGCTGCCAAGAATGGCTGCTGATCCTGCTGCAGGATCCTGGGAACCAGGGTTCTGCAGACTACAGCGGCAGAGAAAGTGGCAGTGCAGGGCAGCTCCCGGCAGCTGCTTCTTGGGGCTAGACTAGCTAAAAACTGCTCACCATGCTATGTTAGTAGTGACATAGTGTGTGAATCCATAGTTACGTATAGAAGGAACTTAGCTGTGCATACCTGGGGCATTTATAATCAAAATTAGGCTTAAACCTGTCAGAGAAGAGGAAATTGAAACAGGGAAAGGAAGGGTCTGTCAATGTTCACCAGGTAAGTGGGGAAAATCTGTCTCATTTTTAATCTTCGAGTCCAGCTCATGAATAGTCCTTAACAACCTCCCGTAGCTCCATGCCTCTACTGCGGTGCATATAAGTCAAACCTGGACACCAATGTTTTTATTTCTGTGTGGGTACTTCTTTCAAAGCCAAGAGCACCTAATTCCCACTCAGTTGTGCTGTATTTTGGAACAGGAACAGTTGAAGAGCACAATAAGTGGGTCAGGCAAAAGGTCCATCTAGCCTAATGCTCTGCCTCTGGGAGCGGCAGCAGCATATACTATTTAGGGACAGCATGGAAACCTGGCTGCTATCTACTCCCCTCACACTTGTCCAGCTTCCACAGTCGATAGGTTAGAGGTGTAAGGTGGTATAGCTGTGCCTGTTCCCTTACGTATGTCTATAAACCTGCTGATTTCTAATCCCTTTTGCACCTTCTACCAGCTGCCCCTACAGCCTCCCATGGCAGCAGGTTCTAGAATTTCACTGCCCACTCTGTAAAGTACTTCCTTTTATTTCTTTTAAACCGATCTCCAGGTGAAGATACCCTGATCTGCATCATGTGTCCTTACTTCTCATGTTGTGCATTTTCATGAATAACCATTCAGAATACATCTTGGTCACTGCTGTCATGATTCTGTGAACTCTGATCACATCCCCCTCAGCCACCTCCTCTCCAAACGGGAGAGTGCTAGCCTTGTTTGTCTCTCCTCCTAAGGCTCCAGCCACTCCGCTGCCATTCGCTGGGTGCTTCTCTAACTGTCAGGTCCTTCTGGAGCTGCAGAGACCAGAACTGCACACAGTACATTTAATATAGTGGCAAGTGATGCTCTCTGTCTTGTTCTCAGTGCCTTCCCTAATGAAGCCCAAAATTTTTTCTCTTTTGTGTTTTTCCTTCTACTGCACATTGAACAAATAGTTTCTGAGGCCTGTCACAGATGAGACTGAGATCTCCTGACTGAGCTGTAATTGCCAGCTCCAAGTTCATCCTCAAGTAAGTATGTTTTAAATTATTTTTCCCTAGATAAGTTACCATATATGTCTATCCTGATGTTCATCTGCCACCATTTTTGCCCACTTGGTTTTTATGAGGTCATTCTCAAGTTCCTCACCCACAGTGCAATGTTCGATTACTTAGTGTAACTCTCATCAAACCTGCTGGAGATACCTGGGGTTATCCCTGTTGTAACCTTCCCAAGAGGTTCCAGCAACCAAGGGCCCACTCAGGAACTTGACCTTAGCCTACCCTAGTTTTCACCATACCCTCGCCTCCAGCTTCTGGAGTTGCTTCTTTCCACCCTTCAGTGCCAGCTGCTCGGCTTCATCCAGACGGTGCTGCAGGTCCTTCACTGTCTGTTCCAGATTCCTCTTCATCCTCTCCAGGTGGGCGCTGGTGTCCTGCTCCTTCTTCAGCTCTTCTGCCATCATGGCTGCCTGGTTGTAGTGTACAGTTATGTTACGAATAGGCCTCCCCTGTCCCTGGTGGTTCTGCGCTTTCCCCGGGAGCGATGCCCAGCTACACGTTGGTGTATGGCTCTCCACATTCTCAGTCAGTGCCCATGGCTGTGCTAAGGGTCTCGTATAAAGAGGATCACTGTTTCTCAGTATTTCTAAAACTACTCTGTCTTGGAGAACAGGCAGGGTTGATGACAAGAAAAAAATAACTAAGGCATGCAAATGACTCAGTACGAAAGTTTCATTTGTTAGGAGTCAGTGGAAATTAGGGGCACCTTGAAGTATCACCAGCTAGCACTCTGCATCTCTGGGCTCCCAAATTATTTTGAATATCTGGTGATCTGGTGCCTAAATTTGCCAGAGTCAGACTCCTAAGCAGTTTTTGCCAGTGAAATGACCCCAAGTGTCTTGAACTACAATGAAAAGCTTGTGCCTGCTGCGATCTTCAGAACCCGGGATGGATAGCTGTCACCAATGTGACAGGGCAGAGAGGGCAGAGGGGAACCTGCAGCCCTGCCGCTGGCGGGCGACCAGAGCTACACACAGCACTTCAGGCCCAGGTGCACCATGACTTGATGCAATAGTGTAACTATTTTCTGTTTCATTTTCGTATACCTTTCCTAGATAGTCCTAAGATGTGTTTCTTCTGATGCTGTGGAACTGTAGACTTGTTTAAATGAAACATATCTATTCTCTCTTTTTATTTCTTACATGTCTAGCATTTGTATAGAAGCGTGTATGATTTTAGTCTTAACTTCTGCTTTTCTGTGCTGTGTCTAAACAGGACTTCGTTCAGACTGCACTTTTCCTATTACAATTTTGCCACTCTCTGTTCTATCCTGTCTATTACATTTATCCTGGAAGCAAAAGTGAATGTGGGTATGGGGAAGGGGAGACAGGATGCATCTTCAATACAGACTGCTGGCAGAACGTGAGTAGAGGGCCTGGACTGAAGGGGTCTTCCACGGGAAGCAGTAGGGCAGAGGCTGTGTGAGGCCCACGTGGGAGGGATTGTGTATCACTGGTATTTTCTGTTCCTATGTTGAAGAATTGGCTCTCCTCCACCTGACTGTTGCCTTTCTAAACTGTAAAAGTGACTGCAGTAGTATAAAATGGAAGAGAGGCAAGCAAGAGTACTCACATCTGTGATTGCTTTCTTTGCTTTCTCCTCCGCATTTCTGGCTTCCTGAATGCTGTCTTCAACTTCATTCTGTAAATGAGTAATGTCCACTTCCAGTCTCTTCTTGGTGTTGAGGAGGCTTGTGTTCTGTTGGGACAGTCCAAAGACGGGTCATTCCCACCCCATTTCATGCCACTCCCACACGCCTATTGTAAAGGAGATACTGAGTACCTGCGAGCGGAGAAGCTGCACTCGCTCACTGGCATCCATCAGCTCCTGCTCAGAAACCTTCCGGGCTCGCTCGGTCTGCTCCATAGCAGCTCGCATCTCCTCCATTTCTGTTGTCATCAGATTGTTCCTACGCTCTACCATAGCAAGCTGCTCCTTCAGGTCATCGTTCTCTCTCAAAGCATCATCCAAATGGAGCTGGGAATCCTTTGAAGGTGAAAGCACCGTGAGACTCAGAGGCAAGCAGAGTGAGCGGCAAAGACCTGCAGGACAGTAGCCTTTGTGGTCCCTACCTTGAGTTGCCCTTGCACGGCTTTGAGGTGCTTCTGTGTCTCTGCCACCTGACTGTTGGCATGGCTCAGCTGTATTTCCATGTCATTCAGATCTCCCTCCGTCTTCTTTTTCAGCCTTAAAGCATCATTTCTGCTTCTGATCTCAGCATCCAGCGTGGTCTGCATAGACTCTAATACCCTCTGGTGATTCCTCTTCAGCTGTTGAATTTCCTCATCTTTCTCTGCACTCCTTCTGTCAACATCTGACTTCACCTGGTTCAGCTCCAGCTGAACACGTAAGATTTTTCCCTCTTCATGTTCTAAAGAGCCCTGGCAGGGTTGAAATAATATAATTTGTCTCTCTAGTGTCTATTACTGGGAAACGCCCCTGCAGAATTTTGACACTTTGCAGCCAGTAACACAGATATATTTGCCTTACTGTGGACCTTTAGAAAAGGCCTAGCACTGAAAAATCTGACTGCTATTCCCATACATAAGCGTAATTATACCTCAGTTGGATATTAATCAGTAATTTAGGGATAAGACTCCTTAGGAAAATGCCTCCAATACCACAAGGTCTGGGCACTGAGGGCTGTGTTGACACTGCAGAGATAACAAAACCTGAAAACATGAAATAGGACAGCCAAGCCTCATGCTCAGAAGCAGCTTGCCTTCTCTTGTATCTCCCTGCTGAATTCTGCTTACCGACTCTGCACTTAGTCCCACCCCCGTGACTGTGGGCATGTTGCCCTTCCATACAGCCTTTTCACTCTGATACTCATCATCTAGCTTCAGATGTCTAAGAGTTAAAAGCCTGAAGCTGCGTCTTTGCAACCAGTGGACAGAAATAAGCACATCCAGAGAACGAAACAGTTGATGTAGCCTTGGCATCCCTTTTAAGAACAGACCCTCCAGAGATGCGTATTTCTCCTTTTTGATTCTAGAATGAGCCTATGGTGACTAATTCAGGATTAGACTGATGACATTTAGACGCATAAATTAGAGTAGATGGATTTGCATGGCCACTATAACTCTTGCTCCTACTGCCCGCCCGTCTCATGAGATCTAAAGATTAGAGATGTGTCAGTTGTTTTTTACTTCTTTTTCTACCTAAGGGGAGTTACAGAGAAAATAAGGTGAGGCTCTTCTCGGTAGTGGACAGCAAAAAGACAAAAGGCAACAGTGAAAAGTTGATACAAGTGAAATCCTGATTGCATATAAGGATAAAAATGTTTTCCCATGAGAATGATGCCACACTGGAAAAGCTTGTCCAGTAATACTATGAAATCTCCATCCTCAGAAATTATAAAGACCAGTTAGACAAGGCTTTGAGCAACCTAATGTAAGTTTGAAGTTAGCCCTGCTTTGAGCAGGAGGTTGGACTAAAGACCTCCAGAGATCCTTTCCAACCTGATTTAATTCTGTGTCTGAGCTATGCCCTAGGTATACCATGGGCAGCTCCATGAAATGCTCTCAAAGACATTTTGTGGAGAACCAGATACGGTCATACAGAAGTAATAAAAGCTTTTCCAAGAGGCAGTCAGGGCAGATAGGGAACAAAAGGCAGAACCCAGACAAGAGGGAACTGAAGGAGCTGCAATCTGGCACGGATTGGGAAAAAAGTAAGATTTAAAGTTATGAAGAGCTGAGGGATAGCCAAAGACAGTAAGGAAGACAGAAATCATGGAATTGAGGGACCTGGTACGCAGCCTGTGTCAGCAAAACATGTTAGCGTACCAGTGGCACCTCTAAGATTCAACTGATCCCCAGAAACCTCTCCATGTTCACCAGAACCCATGTCTTGTGAACTGACTCCTCTTTGAATGTCTTACTGACTCCCATTCATTGAAAGCGAAGGAACTGAAGAAATATAATTTAAAATCTCTTCAACATTCAGCTTTCTTTGAACAGGAGGTGACATTGAGAAGACTTTTAAGTATGGATTAGACCTGCTCTGAAAACATCCTTGATTAATTTGACTAGAAAACAAAAATTGTCAGAGTTTTGAAATACAAATGACCTTTCTTCAGCCTTTCACAGGAGCAAATTCAAACAGGTGGTGCAAAATGAGCTCAATTTTAGTCTGGGACTGAGTTTTTTTGTGCATGATAGCACAGCAAGGAATACCACATTGGTACAGGACAGGAGCAGTCCCTATGCTATTTGGTCTGCTCATGCTGTCATACTGCACGTTTGTGACAGTATCAGGATAAACAGGAATATATAATCTCCAAATTTTCTCCATTCATGATCTCTCTAAACACAAGCCTCCTCATTGAGGACACTTGCCTCTGCTTCTTCTAATGCTGCTTGAAGGTCACACTTTTCTTGCTCAATTTGCTTCTTTGCTTTCTCCAGACCATGATTAGCTTTTCCAGATTCAGCAATTTGTTCAGTCAGGTCAGAAATTTCCTCTGCAACACAGAAAACACACACTCGACTCATCTTAGATAATGTTGTCAGTGGCACCTGCAGTTACTGTTTGACAATGGGAGTGACAGAAGAGATAATGAGGTAATGTGGTGCAGCAGTGAGGAGAAATAATAGGTCTGGTCTCGTGTGCAATCTTTATTTCTGATTACCAGCTATTTCCAGTTCAGTGTGCAATTTGAAAATGAGAGGGACCAACTGGAGTGAGCTCAGAGAGTAATGTCAACTTCCTCTGCACAGTGAAATTACATCTCCAGACACAGTCCTGTTTGATTGCTCTCTTTATCCTCAGATACTCCCCAGGGATCATTCAGCTCAAAAAAAGAACTGAGTTGTGCTTCCTTTATACAGTTACTTTGCTTATTAAATGCCAATCCATTGTGCCACAACTGCATGGTCCTCTAATAATCAGGAGATAGACAACAGCCCTCCAGATTTTTTCTAATGGCAGTGACTGAAGTAATCTGAAAAAAGTGAGTACCTGGTTTCATCATCATTTCTGTCCATTCAGTTAATTTGGTCCCTATCCATGAATGGGATTATGATGGTGTGGAAGAAGAGGAATACCATGAGGAAGTAGGATGCTGTAATGACCTGTAGGCGTGTGCTTACAGGTGACTTTGTGATCAGCTGAACAGGAAAGAAAGTCACCTAACCTGAGCTTTGTGGGAAAATCATAAAGAACAAAACTCTGGGAAGAGGCAGAGCTCTGGTAGCCCAGAAACATGGAATCATCTTAGGACTTGGTGGATCCCAGCTGATAGAGATCTGAACTTACGCTGGAGGTTCTTGTTCTCCCGTCTGACAGTCTCAGCCTGGTCAAGCATTTCTTCATAGGCATTCTTCATCCGGAAGATCTCAGTGCTAAGAGACCGAGACTCCTTCTGGGAAGCTTCCAGCTCAGCCTGACTCTCCTGGTACTTCTGCTTCCATTCAGCCAGGACCTGGAGTGACAGGAGCATAAGAATGACCCATTCTGCAACACTCCTGTCTCTGCACGTTTACAGGACAAGAACCCAAGAGGCAAGGCCTGTCTTACGATCTTTTGCTTTGGACTGTTCTCTGCTTGTGACAATCAATTCACTGTGATACATACTCTGGCTGTTTTGGTGGAAGCTACTTAAATTATCTTCTTCAGCCAGCACTAGTGCATACCCCAAGCTCTCAGGCAGGAGTTTGGTTTGACACCAGCCTGGACACAATGTGGTTAGTCTGAATGAGGCTGTGTAAGCCTTTTCATTATTGCAGGAGCCAGTGGTCTTTCACTCAGCCCACAAAAAAAGATCAGGTTCTACGGATTGTCTCCTGAGTTTGATACCACAGCCCTGCAGGGCATCTTTTTTAGCACAGTCACCTAATTCACTCACACAAGGCTGTGCCAAGGCACAGGGCTGTGCAACATCACTTGGCACTTGGTCAAACAGTGTTGGTTCTTTTAAATGTTATTAAAGGCAGCAAAGGCTGGAACTACGTAAAGGAGTCTGAGGCTCTGCCTAACCCAAATACAAGGCTGGCAGACTAGCACAAGGTGAAAGTCAGGGCTTGTTAGCTTGCATGTGAGTACTTGCTCAGTCTGCTTGATCAAAGACTAGATATGGATCCTCCCAACCTGCCTTGCAAAGACTTCATGCTTTTTAAAACTATCAGAAAGCTACTTTATCGTTTGCTGTGGTCATCTCAGGTTACTCACACTGTGACGTTATCATTACTATATGTCCCGTTATGTGCTCCTTACCATAGCTTTGCTTTGGATAAAACGTAATTTATCTTACTGTGAGTGCAGAACTTTCATAATTTCAGAATCTGGCCTGGCCTATCAGATGTCTAACAATTTCAGATCTGGCAGGCTCTTTGAATGAACCTTGTCAAAATTCTTCTGCTTTTTATCAAATGCTGCACAGGCTGCATTCAACCTCTCCACGTCAATCATGAGGTCATCCACTTCCCCCTGCAGCCTCTGCTTTGTCTTCTCCAGTGAAGCACACTTTGAGTTGACAGCCTCAATCTGCTCCTCTGACTCCTGCAGGCGCTGAGCAAGCTTCTTTCTGCAGGACGAGACAATCAGTGCTGAGAGAAGGAAAATTCTGACATTCTCAGAAAATGGACAGGGGGTTTGGCATGGAAGAGATGGGCAGAGAGAGCAACATAGAAAGCTGTGGTGGTGTGAACAGAGAGCATTGACAGGAGCCTGCAATGACAGAGCATGCTAGAGTGGTAGGCTGGGAGGGTACTTACCCAAGGGGTAAACTGTGACAACATGGAGAGGAACCAGAAACACACTTTCAATATGGGCAGTGTAAAGAATGTGATTTTTCAACTACTATGATTAACTCCATAGTTAACGCACCGGAACTCTCCTTTCTGTAGACACTCCCAAGCATCTACTCCTTCTCCTCCTTTAAACCTCTATTCACTCCCCTTTTCACTCCTAACACATTACAAAGCACACTGCTCTGCATATTTCTACTACAAGCATATTCTGGTTTCCTGCACTTCCTTCTCACATTTATACTTAAATATCCTTCTACTTGCTCCAGACCATCCCTCCACGTACTTGGCCTCCTCTAGCTCCTCCGTGCGCTGAATAGCGTCCGTCTCGTATTTGGTTCTCCACTGGGCCACTTCGCTGTTGGCCTTGGACAGGGCACGCTGCAGCTCCCCCTTGGCTTCCTGCTCCCCCTCATATTGCTCCCGGAGCAAGTCACAGTCGTGGCGAGCAGACTGCAAGGCGTGGGCCAGGGCGTTCTTGGCCTTGGTAGTTAAAATTATACAAATTTTTAAAACATTAACAATTTGTGACTGGAGTTTTTTACTATATTTTGATAAAAACTCCACATCTCACTGCCCATGTGCAACAGTTGCTAGAGTAACAGAAGGAGCAAAGTGAATAACATTAGGGAATCTGTGTTTCAGACTTGATGTTGTTAAACAAGATCAGACACTTGTCCCTCTTCTCTGGCATACTACATCTCAAACACATCTGCACCAAATGCTTCAGGCAAAGACACAAGAAATCCAGCAACAGACAAGGTGGAAATTCTCTCTCAAGAAGTTTCCCTGTAAGCTTTTCAGGTAGAGCCTGGTGTTTATCTGAAGAAGAAATTTTAAACTGTTTTGTCATGTCTAACCCTGGGAATGCCTGCACTCCTGCTCTCTTTCCTTTTTTTGGCTGCTGCTGTTTTCTTTGCCTCAGGGATTTCCTGTAGCAGTAAGGTATGCACACAGAGCTATTTTCATTCACTTCTTTCATGTTTTTGAACTTCAGAAAGCATGATGAGAAGGACTTAAACTGTCTTCCTTATTTAATTTCTAATGTCTCTTCTCTGTGTTATACTCCAAGGCAAAGTTCAAAAGTTTCACTGTTTTGATGTCTCCACCTTTCTCTGAGGAGAAATCTCATTTATTGTTTTAGCTCATTGATTTATTTTACAATTTCGTGGTCCAAATTAAAACAAGTCACCTTATTTTCTTCCTCTAGTTGCCTCTTCAGCTCTTCAGTCTGCTGAGTGAAAGCATGTTTGCCTCGAGTCAACTGAGAAATCAAGGACTCCTTCTCCTCCAGTTGCCGAGTAAGTTCACCTAACGAGAAAACATTTATTTTTTTTAGATAGAGATATGAGACATAAAACATATGAATGAGAAGAGCTAGCCATATGGAAAGTGATTACAAGATATAATGTGGTAAAATGAAAGGAGAGTAGCCATTTCATTCCCACCAGTAGGAAAAAGCTATTGAAGAGAAATGTTGTGCTGGCATCAAAGGAAAGGGGATGAACTGACCACAAACTCACACATTCGTTTTGATTGACAGTGCTTCTTTTGATTTGGTTTTATGTTTCCTTGGGTGGAGTTTCTATGACTGCCACCAGGAGGAAATTCTACAGTCTGAGATTTGTTCAGATCACCCAGTGATGAATATATTACAAAATACACAGGCATTCAGACAGCATATTTAAGTACTTGGCACAGGACTATTACAGTTCATCTAGGGACACACCATTCTCAGTCTGTAGACGTGTTTTCTGTGTGTTCAGATCATTAATTAGTCGCACATGTTCATCATCTTTGGTTCTGACTTCACTGAACTGGTCTTCGAGAGCTCGGCACATCTTTTCCAGATTGCTCTGTTAAGAGATAGAAAGCATATCCTTCACTCATCTAATTGTTCAGAAGAACAATGGTAGTGATGAGAAATGTTTCTTTCTGTGCAGCAACCTTGGCTTTGGAGACAGACTCCATGTTACTGGCCAAGTCGTCAATCTCCATCTTCAGCTCGCTCTTCTCCTTCTCCAGCTTCTGCTTCACATGTTTCGTCCGCAGGGCGCCAGCCGTGGCTTCGTGCTGCAGCGTGGCCTCTTCGAGGTCGCGACGCATCTTCTGAAATTCTGCCTCACGCTTCTTGTTCATCTCGATCTGAGCTGCGGTAGCCCCTCCTGCTTCTTCCAGGCGCTCGCTGATCTCCTCTAGCTCCCTCGAGAGGTCAACTCGCTGCTTTTCAGTCTTTGCACGGATTGCACGTTCAGCCTCAATTTCTTCCTCCAATTCCTCTGTTCGAGCCTGTGAAAGTTAATTGGTTAAACGAGAACTTCTGAATAGGCAGATTTGAAATTATCATTAAGGAATAAAGAGCAAACATTCACATCCATTTATAGCAGCACAGAGTGTGAAGCACCACTAGAAATTTCATTGAATTGTGTCCTAGGACATGCAATATTTAGTTTTGGAACAACAGTGAATGTAAAATCTGATATTTCATTTTATGTTATAGTTCAGAATGGATTTGTTATGTTATGAAGGATCTAGTATTGGACTTTTCTGAAGAAGTAGTGGATGTGTCACTGGAAAATGTAAAGGAATGCGAGTTTCTTAGAAATTTCCCAAAGGTCAGGCGAAAACAAAGCAGTCCTCTCTCCATCGGCAAACAAGATAGAAGGAACCTTGAGATGAGCAACCATGGGATAACAGCACTGAAGAGAACTGTCTTCCAGGCTCTGCATTTAGAAGGTAATCTCTGTCCTGATTATGACAGATTATGTCACATCCTATTTTTTTCTTAGAAAAGTAATTATTGGTGGCTTCACTACTGTTATAACTCAGTATCTGATCCATTTTCAAAGCCTGCTACAAGCTTCACTTAAGAAATTTCTTACATAGTTATGTATGATTAGAGGCCAGAGCTTCTGTAAAAGTGCCCTGAGATGGGAAGAGCACCCAGCATCCATGTTAATTGTTTTATTCATGTGTACAAAAATATTTTTGTAGAACAGTCTAATAAATTCCAATTAATTCTAAGGAACTTTTAGTAGTTTGGCTACTAAAAATGTCAATAACTTTTAGACTTTACCTGAAGCTCCTTAATTTTCTTTTGCAGCTGAGAACTTTGAGCCTGCTCATCTTCAATTTTACTTTGCAACTGGCTTATTTCAAAATCCTTTCTGTTAAAGAACAAGAATACAAATTCAATACAGTTCAGATAAAATCTGAATTTCAGAATTTAGATCAGAAAAAGTCAGTGCTATACTTTTTTAGCCTGTTATCCATCTGTTGCTTATCATTTTCCAGATCCATGATGGAATCCTGAGACATTTTCAGATCTCCCTCCAGTTTTCTCTTTGCTCTCTCAAGGTCCAGTCGCAGTTTCTTCTCTTGTTCCAGAGATCCTTCAAGCTAAACCACATAAAACATACTTTGAAACACATAAATTATACATTGAAAGTAACTATTCTTGATTTAAAAATCTAACTAGAGTTGGAAATTGATGAATAGAGAAAACAATCAGATCCTGTATGTACTTCTCATCTCCGCCTGTGTTACACTCTTGCTGCAAGAGAGCTGACATTATGATTTGGTTTCAGATATTAAGCTGTCCACAGCTTGGCTGTGCACAGTTGAAATGCAAATTTTTGGAGTTGAAATAGAAGTTTTTGAAAAATATAGAAATTGAAATTTTCCAGTGGCTGCAGTTCCTAGCATACAGACTGCTAAATATTGACAAATTCCCAGTGTTCCCAGCTTCCTGGAGTATATCCACACTGCTCAGTAAGAGACCACAAATAACTCTGCAGCAAATTCAAACTGCCACAGATATACTGCTCTAGCTAATTGGTTAAAATGGGGTGCAGAAGTCTACAAGGCTGAGATACCCAGTGATGAACATAGTTTAAATAGACAGGGAAAGATGAAAGATGTACTAGATTCCACGATACCCTGTCAACTGGCAATGATTTGTTAGCTGAAATTATTAGAGATGGCTTGGCTGCTTTAGGTGTTGCTTATACTCCCAACTACAGATTTCTAGTCTCTTCTAATCCATCAGAGCGTCCACCTACACAACCCAAAAACTTTTTCTTACATCATCTACTTGCTGCTCCAGTTTGGTCTTGGTTTTGGTGAGTGTGCTGACTTTGTCTTCCTCAGCTTGCACGTCATCCAGTGTCTGCTGGTGGGCTTCTTGGAGGGCCTTTTTCTCCTTAGTGAGTTTAGAAATATTTTCATCCAGAGCTGCCATCTCTTCAGTAAGATTCTTAACCTGTTAGACAGCCAACATCCATACTATGAGCGGGTGCCTTGAGAAATGACAGACTGAGAACACAGTGAGTGCATCCTTGCAAAATCTTGCATGGATGTAGTCAAAATGCTCCCCACAGAAGGTCTATATCGTTCATGATGAGGGTAGCAACAAGTGTCATGCCTGACAGTCACACCTCTCTGGTCCTGCAATGATAGGAATTCTTGCTTTAGTTGTTTTTGACTACCAGCCCTATCCTACTGAATTCTGTAGTGGAACATGTGCTAGATCTTCACTTGCCTCTGCAAGCTTTTGCCACTGGGATTTACAAAAGGCCTCTGAGTTACTCTTGCTCAAAAAATGTATTTCTTGCATGTGATATATTTGCTAGGCAAACAGCTGTAAATTCTCAGCAAGTGAGGTTCTTTAAAAAGATATTTTCAAGTGCCAAGCATAGCCAAAGCTACATTAAGTTTTCCATAAAAGTGAAAGGAACACGGTAACATGACAAAGAACCTTAGGCCAGTGGAACAGGTGATCATGAATTTAGGACAGGAGCTTCTTACTGGGCTGCTGGACATACCAGCTCTGCTAGCTTTGTCTTGGAAACTTATTCCTTGTACTTCAATGGAGCATTGCACACCAGCAACCTTATCTCAAACACATCAGGCGCTGTGCATTAGCCTGCCTGACCCTTGCTTCCCATTTGTCTCATTCGGATGGGAAAGCCTGACAGTAGGGAAAAGGGAAGTCCACTCTGCTAAGTGCTTTAGCTGTATGGCCCTGATATCTGATAAGACACTCCCTCATCTTAATACCCAGCACCAGCTAGATTTCCTCTAAGCATTAGTATAGAAATGTCCAACATATCTGTAATGGCAAACTTAGGATCCAGTATTGTTCTCAGTGATGGCAGTGAAGGGAACCTCAAGGTTGTTATTACATCTCTGCTGGTATTGTTTCCACAGCAGGACTGAACACTGTCACCACAGATGTGGGCTTTTGAATTCTAATGTATATATCTCAATTCTGTCTCTTCACATTGATTGTTAAGATGTCTGTGAAGAGACTGTGCTTTTACTGGGAGATAAATGAGTTAATGACTACCTGATATAGACTCTCCTTGCTACACTGACAGTCTGAACCTTAGAAGTCAGGAAGAACTCTCATTGTATCGTCAAGTCAGGAGTTGGACTCGATGATCCTTGTGGGTCCCTTCCAACTCAGGACATTCTATGATTCTAAGTCAATGGAAGGAAAGGATGTCCATCCTAGCTGAGACCTGGTCTTCTTAAATATAAAAGAATTACAAGAAAACATTTGACATCTGCAAAATCAGTTTTCCTAATGCATGTGAGAAAGAACCAGCATCGCCATTCCATGCTGAGCTACTCACAAGCATACTAGTCCTCCATTATCCACAAGAGACACAAATAGACTGGTTCCTTATGACTGCAAATAGCCAAATATGGAAATTCTCTACCAAGCACCATAGCAACCTCTTAACTGTTTTTGAACTGTCATAGAAAATATATTTTTCCTAAGAGGAAGTTATAATTTTAAGAAAAAATTTTCTGTCACAGGTGATTAAATGGCAATACCTCTCTCCTATGCCTTGGGCACATATGACTTCCATTCACAGCACTTAGGAATGACCACAACTTTCACAAAACTGAAAACTGTCTGGGAAGAATAATTCCCTGATTCCTCTGTCACCTTATTCTCTGTTGCATGCTTCTCCTTTTCCACTTTGGCCAGAGTCAGTTCAAGATCATCAATATCTTTCTTCAGCTCAGAGCACTCGTCTTCAAGTTTCCTCTTCTTTGCTGTCAGTTCAGCATTCGTCTCTTCTTCATCCTCCATTCTTTCACTTAGTTCTTTAATTTTAGCTTCCAGCTGGATTTTACTTTTGATGAGTCCTTCACATCTCTCTTCAGCATCAGCTAGATTTTCACTCTCCTGTCAGAACATATTGAAGGCACATTATATTTATCATAAAAATGACAAAAGGCAACATATGTTGTTCAAGTGGCATCTCCAGGAAACTGATTACACAAGTCAGGGCAGAATTTCCTATACAAATCACAGTAAGGCACACGATTCGATCATGAGGAAGTTGTCCTGATCAGTCATGGCTAGGAAAGTGGGCCATAATCCCATGGTAGAGACACTTCCTTTCATCTGGTCAGATGGTTTGAATACAATACTGTGCAATAGACTCACAGGGTTCAGTCATAGCAAGCAGCCTGCAAGGGATTAGTGAGATAAAGAGGTGGGTAGCAAACTGGATTTCATGGAAGCATGATCTTAGATGTGGATTTGTAAAACATATAACATTCTGAAGTCATCTTTCATAGGGTGTTGGATGATTCTATCCTTAATAAGCTCCTCCAATTCTAATGACACAGGTCAGCCCATCTCTCCCCAAACTTCTCCCACTTTATTCACACGAGGCTAACCTTGCTCCCATCATTCTCTAACCTCTCTCTCAGCCAAGACAGGGTCAAGCACGACCTAAATTGTAGCCTGCGACTTTTACGATAACTAACATTTTGAGAGACATGATTAACAGATAAAATTTTGTCTAAATTAATGCTACTATAGTGTATTCTAGGCAGAATACCAGAAAAGGTATCTATTGCCTCCCAGAAGAGTTATGGCTGAAAGCCATCACTTCAGTAACAGAAGATGGTATGTTTAATTCTCTCTCAGATTCTGACTGAAACCCATAGCGTACTGAAAATCATGGCTCATGAGTGTGCATCTTCTGAGGACAAACTTGGAGAAGGTGGTGCTTGAGGAATCTTTCAAGCAGGGTTGATAGAAATTCCCCAGGAAAATGGGACTTAGCGAGAAGACAGAAAGGACTCTTGCAGTACTGAAACAGTGAGAAACTGGGAATCAAGAAAGCGTCAGACAGCAGACTTGAGAGCAATGATGATACCATAGGAGTTCTTTTATATTTTAAAATCTGAAATCTGATTGCTTTGAAAGGCATCCTAACCTGGAATTTAGTTAACCTGGGCTTCTCGGGTTTTTTGGCTTACCATCCATGAAGAGGTTAAAGTGACACCCCAAATGCTTGTAAACTAGGTGGGTTCTGGAGAACAGAGCATTAAGTACCAAGAAGGGTACAAGGAAACTCAGAAAACTGGGTGAGGTTAAGTTGAAGTTTTGAAGAAGGATTCAGGTAATGAATCTGATCTTCAGCACGCACAGTTACAGCCTCAGTGCTTGAAACAATACAGGACTCTTGTCAAAACCTAACTGGTTCGAAAGCACAAGGAAACAAGTGAGAGGTCCACTTGCACCAAACTGCCCTTGGCCATGTAGTATTTTATTACCTTTTGAAACCTGACAGTATTCCTGTCTTATGCAATTTCAGTCTCTGCTTGGCAGTATTCCAGAGAAAAGCATCAGTCTTTGTTCCACAGTTTGAATCCTGTCTCTGACAGAAAAGCACCCCTGCCCTGGCTCCATACTAGAATGGTCAGCAGATGTGGAAACAGCCTGTATTTCATCCAGAATCAGATACTATTGTTAGGAGCACATTATATATACTATGAAACATCTGATTCTTCCACAGGTGATTGCTTAATAATAAAGTGGATTAATAATAAAGTGGGTTTACACGGGAGCCCAGTCAGAATTTCCTGTATTCCTAGTGGTCGTAATGTTTTATGTGTGCTTCGCACTTAATTTGCTTAGGTGTAAATGACAAGACCAGATACAAAGCAGTGGAGAATTTGCCCCTGTTACATGTCTGTTTATGAAGGACAATGGAAAAGAGAAGGGAAACAGCAGCAGAATAAGAGGAAATGGAGTGAATCTGAAAATGGAGGTTACGCACAGATTGAACCTGAAGCTGCAAGTCATTTTTCTCTTGCAACAGGGTCACCATTTTCTCCTCCAGCTCTTTCCTTTTTGCCTCAGACTTTGCAAGCTCTTCCTTGGTTTTCTCAAACTCCTCCTTCATGTTGGCCATCTCCTTCTCAGATTCTGCACTCTTCAGCAAGGGCTTCATCTTGAAGTATAGCTTCATCCAGGGCCAGTGCTTGACATTCATGAATGCTCTGACATTGTATTGGATGATATAAATGGATTCTCTGAAAGCACATGAAAACACAGTTTATGAGGCTGGTGAGACTTCGGTTGGAAACAGACTCTCATTATTGGCCATACAACATCAGCATTTTCTTCAAGGGACTTTTGCATGAGACTTTTTTCCTCACCTCCCTAGCTTTTATTAGAGTAATTTCTAGGCTCTTAATTGCAGAATGGCTGGTTCAGTAGCATGAACAATAACTATGTCTGGACAGAAGAGGGAGAAATACTCCAAACTTCTCTGGCGTGTTGCCTGGGAATCTCTGAGAATTTCCTCTCTGAGACTTTCCTCAGTCTCAAAGAAAGTGCAAGTGCTCAGGTGAATACCAGAGTGAAAACTGACATCCTACCGCTGCTGAGATTACAAATCTGGGAGTTACTGTCACTTGTGGAAACAGCAGCTTCATGCTTTTTGGGTCACTCAAAATAGCAAATACCATATTAGAAATTATTAAGACAGAAAACAAAAATGAAGTCTTTTTATGGTATTGAATGCAAAAGGATGTTGTTGATGCCCATAGTTCAAGGGGAGATTAGACAATTCCTTGCAGAGAAATCCAGTAAGAGTTATTGAATTCTTAGAAACTATCCCTGGCTCAGGAAGCCCCTGAACTAAATATATACTGCAGAGTAGTACAAATAAAAGCAGCTGGTTGGCAGAGCATCCTATACATTTATGCAATCCCTGCTCCCCCTAAAGCTTTCACTTGTCAACAACATTTGAGAAAGTTTCCTTGGCTTGCCCAGTGCTGCCACTCTTACGTTCTAAATTTTGCGTGATTTATTCCATCCCAAAGGGAGAGAGCTGAAATGGGAAAGGTATCTGGATGGTTGAAAGTACGGAGTGCCTTCTCTGTACAAGCTAGAATTGTTCATCTTAGACAATGGAGCCATGAAAGAAAATTAAAGAGAAGGAGAGCAGAGAGTGATTATATGCCATTCCTTACAAAACCAATGTGATCCAATGATATTATCAGACAACATGTTCAAAACAGACAAACCTTAGCACTTGTTCAGTTGGCTATCTCCATCACAGGGTTCTTTAAAGGTTGAAAATGGTAAGTGCATTCCTGGAGAAAATGTTCACTGTTAAATACTAAATATCATAGTTCAGCTGCATAGTCCAGTTGCTAAATAGCCATTGCCAGAATTTGGGAGGCTATAACAGAGAAACTATTAGTTTGTGCTTGCTCTGTTTCCCTAGTCTTTCCTAGGGTCTTTCCTGATGACAGTTTTTTGCCTGAGACAGTACACTGCATTGCTGGACTTTCGGTCTGACACAATAAGATTTTTAGTATTTTCTTACATTACCTTCTTTCATTCATCTTTTTAAATTCAGTTCTCATGAGATACCCTCTGCACATAGCTTGTGTATGAGTGATGAGGCTTACAAGCTTCTCATCTCTCATCTCTTCTAGGAGTCCCAGGAGACCTGCCTTGAAGAACACCTAGAACGTAAAAGAGGGTCAAATAGTTTGAGGCTTAAGCAGATGCACAACCATTGGCAGCTGATGCAGGGTAGTACAAGGCAGTTTTGGAAAAATATCTGCAGAGTAAAGGTTTAATAGCTAGACAAATTTTGTGTTATTATTCCTGTCCTCGGTGTTCCTGTGATTCATGACAAGTCACACTATGTATGATCTAATCACATTATTGCAGTGTTATTTGATACCTGCTCCAGCATAGGTTGTGGAAGATCTAGCTCATTAGTAGTTATTAAAACAAAGAGTTAACTTTCAACTTAGTACTATATCCTACTCTGTCTCTTCGCTGTACTCTACCCTTCTACATCAGGCTCAAGATTTGCTCTGTAAACTGACTTAGAGATGGCTTGAGAAGCATATATGATGATGTCTGTTCAGTAGTGTAGGCGATGGGGTTTTTGTCCAGAGATAGTGCTGCCTTGGTTGTGCTGATCAGAGAATCAGTGTCCCACCTAACACTGCTTTGGATATGGAAGACAGACTTGTGTGTGTGCCTAAATCCCCTGAAAAGTCTGACAGTCCAAACTTGTCTGAGCCTGTCTAACACGCACTGATATAAATGAGTTCAACTGGCAGGAGAAAGGGGCAGCACTAGTTCTAGTTGCAGCCACGCTGGGTCATTCTGGTAGTGTGGTGTTACCAGGGCTGACAGTGCTACCCCTCACACATATCCCCGGAACCAGACAAGTTTTCTGTACTCCTTGCTAGTGGGGCACTTAATTTCTAATCATCATGAAGGCTGATTTCATATGTAAGAAATACTTTCAATGAACAAAATTTTTTGCTATTGATTATACCCACTCTTCCACAAGGACTTTACCTTGGTGTGGCCAAATCTGTATTGGTTGTGGTCAACATCAATGGAGGAAAGAAGCTTTTCCGAAGCCTTTTTGCTGTCAATGAATTGGCCTTCTGGAATGGCTGAGGCATTAAGGATCTTGTACCTATGGTAACACAGGTTGCAAGGACTGGTTGCAAACAGGGTGAGGAAAATAGGATCCATCGTATATCATAAAATATACAGAAGCTGAGCTATCTGAATATGCCATCTGAAATCTAGACAGTCTTGGCTGAACAGAATGTGATGACAAGAGGACATGTCTACTCTTCAGAGGAATCTGTTGGCTGTGTAACAACACAGTATGTTGTTACATATAAAATTAATGTGCATACTTAAGAGTGTCTGCACGTCCAGGAATTAGGAAGAACATAGTGAGAACCTGTCAACCTCCTCTTATCTTGTTTCATTGATCAGAGGAACGCTACTCAAATTAAAGTTCAAGATGAATTAAAACTAATAACAAAAATCAGCTATATTCCAAAGGGAATACAGATCTTGCACAGCTCACAGGCTCTACAAGTTGTATCACTGAATCCTTGAGTTTGGACTAAAAATGGCATGGTATTATTCTGTAAATGCTAACAGCAGTCTTAGCGTTTTGCAAGGTAACTTAACGGTTAAGGTAATCCTGTGTCATGGACAGGACCACCTAATCTTTCTAAAGGAGTTTCTTCAGATACATCAGTGAGGCTGTGTGACTGTACACTGGACCATTTCTTATTCTCACGTCTGCCTTGAAAGAGAATATGTAAAATCAAGACAGTGATAATGGTGCAGTGAATTTATTCTCTATTTTAGGCTTCCATTGTAGTTCCTCCTGAACTTCAGCACATTTCCTTTGAACTATGAAGCACTTTGTGGTTCTGGACCATGGCCATTATGGATAGATTCCTTCAGCTGTCACATCAAATTATGATTTAACAACTGAGAACAGCTAATGCCTTACTGAACATCAGGTTGCAGGGCATTTTCAGAGAGGTCTTGGGTCCTTTTCACACCAGTTCAGCATGGAAGATGCTACTGTTACATTTAATTATAATAGCAGCCAATTCTGATTCAGCACTTTATAGCAACTGAGCTCACATGAACCAGTTTAATTGTCTCAGTTTTAAAGATGAGGAAAACAAGGCACAGGATACAGGCCAGTGACAGAGCACCTTGGATTTTTGAATGCTTAGTCAGTGAACCGTAAGGAGGCTGTGCTGACGTGTATTGTTTTTGTATCTGTACTCTGGGAGACTTACAACGTCTATAATGCCACTTAATTCATTACACTACAAGCATCTTGCATCTCTTTGGCTCATCGGGCATTGACTACAGTTTAGAAATGATACTGGTTCTGATGAATCAAGAAATCTCTGTTCTGATCAAAGAGGGAAAGACTGGAGTGACCTAACACAGTATTAATGACTTGGTTCTCTCAAATGCCACTAATCTAGTCCGATTCAGAGGGTGTCTCTCCATGATGTCACCAGCCTTGTCACCCGAGTTGTGGGTTTACTGAAGCCTTATATTAACAGACAGTAATAACTGAAGACTTACCGTTGCTTAAAGTCTGCATAAAGAATTCTGCTTGGAAACCCCTTCCTGCAAATTCGGATGCCTTCTAGAACCCCATTGCACCGCAGCTGATGCATCACCAAGTAATGGTCCATTTCACCTTAAACAAAATACGTCCATCATGACTCTCCTTTTCTTCCAAAGAATCTCCATATGTATTAGCATTCCAGAATGACCTCCCTTTTTTTTGATAAAATTCAACCAGACAGAACATGCCTTCAATTCATACAAGTGGCAGAGAGCTGCTTCAGTGAGCTGAGATTTACAAAGAATGCTAGGGCTGGCAGTGCTTGTGAGTTGCCAATGGCCAAAAGGCATAAGGACACATTACTTAAAAATAGCCAGAGAGTGCTTTAGGAGACCAGATGAAAAATCTTCATCAGCATCCTCATTGGATGCAGGTAGAGGTGGTGCAATGTAGAATGTAGTACCATCTAGACAATCAGCTCTTCACGTTATGTAAGATTTTACCTTGGATCTCCAATGCAAGTATTGACTATACTCAAACTTGATTAGATTTGATAGCTAGATAGACTCCAACACCGGAGTGGATAAACAGGTTGCCTAAAGCTCTCAGTCTCCCTGTAAAGGACAGTTGATTAAAACTGGAAGAATTATCTTTCTCCTCCTAAAATATCTATTGGATATAATAATCAACAGTATTTCTAAGTCTTATTCCCAAGTATTACAAACAAAGTACAACTGGCAGAATAAAACCCTCTTGGAATCACTTTGCAATGCAGAAATTTCCATCAGCTGCTAGAGACATTAATTAGTACAGAATGGTCCATACGCCTAATTTTGTCTTTTCAGTGTGATCAATAAAGGTGTACCCAAAGGAATTGTTAGAAAAGTTGAGCATAAACAGCCTAAACCCAGCTAAAAATCAGAAGATGTCTAGTTTCTCTTCCTTCACTTCACCATCCTTAATTTTGCTCACACAGTACTACTTTAGTTTTCCTTAAAAGGCAAAATGTCAGGATTTCCTCTGAGTCACCTCTGTCAAAACAATCAAATGAACATTAAAATGACAGCCATATCTGGCAAAATCATTCATTCAAATATCCTTTTCTATTTTAGTAGGTTTCCTTAATTGCCCCCTTACACCTTCTCGACTGTCAAGACCCCAGTGGGATTCCTCTTTCTTCACTTTAGGATATGAAGTGTGGTCATTTCCATTTGGGCTTCATTTATAGTCAGTGGAGTGAAACAGTTTCTTCTAGGACGTGATTCATCTCGTCCTAAGATAGATGTATAAAAGGGGCCAGATGAGTCATACCTTAAAATGCCAGCTTCTCTCCACTGAATATAAAAGGAGTTTAGATGAATAGCCTAAATGTGAATGTCATACATATGTGTGTTGCTTAAATCCTGCTTGTGGTCTTCAGGGTTACACAGAGAGACATAAACAAGAAAGGTGAGAAATGTTCTGAAATTGGTCTTTTGTTTCCTGAGCAGATTAAACAGATGCTAAGCTCCCATGTCCTGGTACTCCTGTTGCATCCATGGCATTCTACCAGTATCTGCCTTATCATTCTACCAGTGCCAGACCTCATGATGATTAGACTCCTGAAACCCCCACAGGCAAGTCTCTCCCCAAGTACTTTAATTTAATGGCCATGTGAAAATACTCCCAAACTTGACTGTTCTCAGAGACTAAACTCTTTGTGAGAGTTTAATATTTAATTAAATAAAGGAAAAAAAGTAACTTTATATCAAAATGTTTTCCAAGTGCTAGCAGCACCCAGAATTACACGGAATTCTACAAACGATATATGCTTTCTTTGACATTCCTCCAGCTCAGTGAATCAGATCTTTACACTGAATATTTAGAAAGTGGTAAGTGATCTTGGGCTGAACCCAACAGTTCTGAATGACACAGTGGTTCTTAAAACCAGGCATTTGTTAGGGATTTGCTAATGCTGTTACCCACAACAGACAATTTCATGAGCTGTAATCAACCCCATCTTTATCATCTTCAGCTCTGTACACAAATTAAGCAAAGATGGGTAAGTGTTGTGGACCGTGTAATGCTCAAAATTTTACAGTCATGGTAAACAATACAAGAAGGTTTACTTGGGCACTGTCCCACAGGCCAGCCCCCACAAGAACTTCACATGCAAAGGGAGCTGTTCTGGAAGAAGCTGGTGTGGAAACTAAGCAGGCCAACTCAGTCCTGTGTCCTCAGAGTATAACACCGGACTTACCAGGTGTCTTGGTCTCATTAGGAATCAGGCAGCGCACAAAGTGAGGATGGGTACTTCTCAGGTTAGTCATCAACTTGTTTAGATTTTCCTGTGATAGAACAAAATATGGGTTTGAGCTTTGAGCTACAAAGCTTTTGCATTTTTATTCAAATGTCAAGGAGATATAGAATCACAGAATGGTTTGGATTGGAAGGGGCCTTTGAAGATCATTGAGTCCAACATCCCTGCCATGGGCAGGGACATTTTTCACTAGATCAGGTTGCTCCAAGCCCCGTCCAACCTGAGCTTGAACACTTCCAACGATGGGGCGTATCTTTATCCGTTTCAACGATGGGGCATCCACAACTTCTGTGGGCAACCTGTTCCAGTGTCTCACATCCCTCATGGTAAAAAAATTTCTTCCTTACGTCCACTCTAAACCTACCCTCTTTCAGTTTAAAACCGTTGTCTCTTGTCCTGTCACTACAGGCCCTGGTAAAAAGTCTTCCTCTGTCTTTCTGATAAGGCTTCTTTATATATTGAAAGGCTGCAACAAGGTCTCCCTGCAGCCTTCTCTTCCCCAGGCTGAACAACCCCAACTCTCTCAACCTTTCTTCATAGGAGAGTTGTTCCAGCCCTCGGATCATTTTTGTGGAAGCATGGCTCATTTAAAAGGAAATTCACATACCCTGAACACAGCAGACACTGTCTGGAAAGAGCCTCCCTTCTTCTTAGCACCTTTCTTGCCACCACCACTATCACCTTGGAAGAAGTAGATAAGAGGTGAACAGTTAGAGTAAGCAGTATGTTTTTTAGCCCTCACCTTCCTTTCTTTGGTCATGGGCCAATAAAATAATTAATTTTTAATTTTAAATACTGACTCGCTGCTTCATGAGAGTTTTAGTGAACTGCTGCTAGCTGGTTGTTGATCAGTGTATGGTATATTTGGTCTCAGATGCATGATTTAGGTTGCATCATAATGTATATTGCTTTGGTGGTATGGAACACTATGGCCTGATGTAAGTTTCATAACAGTGTACTTTGTGCTACTCCTCACATTGCTTTTACTTAGAGACATACTCCCATTTTTTATTATTTTTTAATTAGGTGAAAGGCCACAAGAATGTGGCTCAGCAGTGGACATTCGTTTATCAATGCAGTGAAGTCTTCTTTAGAAAAATCTCTTAATCCAATGTTCCAGGTGAAGAATAGAGATCTATTCTGAGTTATGGCAGCCCCAAGGCAGGAAGCAAATTATAGTCTCAGGAATACAAGTCCAAGCAGCTCAGTGCCTTTTCATATTTGCTGCACTGTTGAAGCCAATTACATCAAGACTTCAAGGGAGTCTTTGTGCTCCGAACTTCATGCCTTATCCAAAATTTTATCCCCACAACCTTTTCATCTCGCCTTCCTTGTATTGATGATATCTGCAAGGACCACAGCTGACTCATCCCCAGTATTTCCTAGGAGCTTGCTCAGACATGTTGTTATGTCAGCCAAACTGAACTGCGGGGAAGTCCCCATGCAGTACTCTCTTGAGCCTCAAACCTTGCTGTCCATATGCCTGATGGCTGAGATGACTACTACACTATACTGCCTCTTCTTTTTGCCCAGCATCCAGGCTGCCAGAACATTAGGTTTTTTGGTAGAAATCTGTGTGGTCAGAATCTTGGTAACGCAGACCTATTGACTGTCCAACTTGATGGCTTCAGCCACAAAAAAGGGCAAGAGATTGGACTGCTCTCTGATGCCCTTAGAGGACTTCTAAATTATATTCTCTGTCTCTCTCATTTTCCCTTGCAACACCAGGACTGCTCAGCTGGACATGAAATAGTTCCATGGTCTCCTTTTAGTTCTTCCAGTTCATCTCAAGAAACAAAACTCTGTCCCCAAAGACTATAAAGTGCTTTCACTTTGCAGGTATATTTGGCACCTGTCTAGAGGATGAGTAAGCATGCACATGTTTCACAACACAATAAGTCAGGAAACATACACCTCCTGTCACTGTTTTTTGGACTTGCTGAGTTTCACTTCTCTGCACCACATGAATGTGGTGTTTTCAGCAGTTCTGCATGTTGGTATCTTAGTTTTGGCATATCTGGATGCACACAAGAACAAGGTCACATTAGGGGATGATGGAGAGTCTAGAGTATACCACAGAGAGGAGAAGCAGAAGTAGACTTTAGTTGATTCTTGCCTTATTGATCATCACTGAAAACGCACTTACTTGTTTCTGCACCAGCATAGTTAGAGAAAAGGAAAGACAGCAGCTTCAGGGATGATTTCTGGTACAGTCCCACAACAGTTTCATTCAAGGGATCCTTGTTCTTGTCAAGCCAGCCAGAGATGTTGTAGTCCACCGTGCCAGCATAGTGCGCCAGGGAGAAGTGGGCCTCAGCCTTGCCTTTGACAGGCTTGGGCTTCTGGAAGTTGTTGGACTTGCCCAGATGCTGGTCATAGAGCTTGTTCTTGAAAGAGGTGTCAGTTGCCTTGGGGAACATGCACTCCTCTTCCAGGATGGAGAAGATGCCCATGGGCTGAGAGAAATAGATGAAGAAAGTAAGTGGTGGGGAGAAAAAAAGTAAATAAAATGTCACCTTGCATATGATTTGTGGCTTGTTTCAGTGACTGTAATTTGTACTGCAGAAGTTCTTAATACATTACTAGTTATTATAATAATCAGGCAACCTATAATTAGTTTGTGTTGCTCAAGCTGCTACCCATGAACATGGCAACTCGACAATACTGTTTACGTGCATCTTTGAATGAAAGGCTATATATACATATATACGCATATTATAATCAATAATAATAATATAATATATAATATAATCAATTGTTTCGATCATCTTTACCCTACATCGTTAGGAAGTAGGTTTCAGCATCCTGTTTGTGGGACTGATGCTGTTGTGTATGTCTGTTACAAGCCATCAGGTTGTAATTGTCAATGTGGACTTAATTTGGTGGCTCCTCAGGAATGTGCATAGATAACTAATATCTAACAACTCCTGTCTCCAGTGAATGTGCATGATGGATCAGATTTTCCTCACCTTATATGGAGTGTAAATGGCAATAATCTGGCACTTTAGAATACCCATAGACCTTTAATTTGTCTCAGCATTGTATTTAAAATTGGAAGTACTTCAGTACAGAGATGTAGGCACATTCTCAGCGACATCAGAGCTTTCATCTGAGCTACATTAGATATCTTCTGATAGTGCAGATAAGCACGTTGTCTGATTTTGCTGGAGGCACTGGTGTGACCTGCACTTCATTGGCCTAGAGAGAATTCTAGGAGTTCCGTCTTTGTATGAACCTTTTTTTTAAAAAAAAGTTAATAAGATGCCATTAGATGCTTACATCTGATTTCAGCTAGATAGCTGCCAGATCTAGAATCAGGGATCCTCCAGAGCAGCAGCAACCACAGGAGGTGGATGTTGGGCAGGAATGTTGTGCTTTGAATGAAGATTTTGCCCTCTAGGTGTGGCTGCTGTGTGAGAGCTCTGGGGTTAGCATTCATCTTGCCTAACTGTAGGTGTCTATAAAACAGAATCTAGATCTGAGTTGGCTGTCCAGATTGCTCTTCTGTAATGGAAGCATTATAAAGACATTTCACAGAATCACTAACAGAATATGCTTTATAAGGAGATGATTTGCATCCTAGAAGTGTCTACTTCTTTCCTGTCATTACAAAAGAGACTACAGCATTAGATCAGTGTAGATGTTCTGATTCCTCTGGCTCTAATACTCTGTATTGCATAAATATGGGACACAAAATGTGTGGACACTGAAGAGTAAGTATGGATTTTGGGTGTTAAATATAGCAATAGGCAACAGGCACTAGCTATGAATGGTAGCGCTGCCTGTAGATGCTGCTATGTGGTGGGAAGTGTTGGAGGTTAGCAAGAAATGTGAGGCTCACGTGCAAAGGCTTAACCCATGGGTATGAAAGTTAAGCAGTGAACATGCATGTGGGATGGCTGAATCAGTCACTGGGCACTTGGCATGAATGATAGCGCTGGGAGCAGATACCTGCATGCTCCTGAGAAGGAAGATGTTTGGGTGTGTGCATATTGGATTTGCACATGATGTGTAGGTGCTGTGCACAACCACTGGACACTGGCTTGTAACATAGCAGTGAGGGGTTAATTTGCACTAAGATCCCCAGTGCAGTAGCAGGGGGCAGCGACAGAGGGGCCAGAAAGAGCTGTGTTGCTAGAAAAAAGAACTTAATTCTATCCATTACTGCAAAGAGTAAGACTCGAGGTTCACCTTACTGTTAAAGGCAGTCTTGTTAAAGGCACCAAATTAACACCATGCACCCCCTCTCCCTTCTACCCCACCCATGTTGGTCAGGACATCATTGTTTGTGCAGAGGCAGCCTGTCACTCCATAAGCTTTGGTTTTATGAACTGCCTCTTCTTATATGAGAGGGCCATTCAACAGTAATGTATCAATTTATTAAGAATGACTGGACTAAAATAAATGACCATGAAAGAAATGTGCTCTCCTAAAATGAAAAGATTTCCTCTACCTTCTCAATGAGCTCAATGCAGGCAGCCAGGTCCATCCCAAAGTCAATGAACTCCCATTCAATTCCCTCCTTCTTGTACTCCTCCTGCTCCAGCACGAACATGTGGTGGTTGAAAAACTGTTGCAGTTTCTCATTGGTGAAGTTGATGCACAGCTGCTCCAGGCTGTTGAACTGCAAATTCAAATATAAAAAAATGCCAGTTAGTTTGAAAAAGTCATCAATGGGCAAGCATACCTACTGTAACTCACATCAAAGATCTCAAAGCCAGCAATGTCCAGGACACCAATGAAATGCTGTCTGGGCTGCTTGGTATCCAGCTGTTGGTTGATTCGAACAACCATCCATAGGAACATCTTCTCATAGACTGATTTAGCCAATGCACCCACTGAATTGTATACCTGTAAGAAACACAGCCATGACAGTAATGAAAGTTGAGTTAGCTTTAAAGTTGAAAGAACTGTCTGAACAAAATGAAAAGCTGATCAGCTCTCTAGGTACCTGTTGGACATTTTGTCCTTTAGTTACATATTCATTCCCGACTTTCACCCTGGGATAGCATAAAGCTTTGAGCATATCAGCAGAATTCAGACCCATCAGGTAGCCAGCTTTGTCAGCCACTAGGATAAGAGACAGCAAACGAGTTCAAAAGAGACAAAGAAAGGTGTCCTGGTCCTCTAGGATGTTTCTGTTACAAGGAGCTTACTTTCAGTGCTACTCAAATGCACCTATTGTCAAGGGAAGCTCCTCTCCAATGTCATGGAGAATGTTTTCCCCCCAAGAGAGGCAGCGTCTCAGCTGCAGCACGCTCCTCTTCCACATCTGGAGGGCTGCAGCAAGGCTTTGTCTTTATGTTTCTGTTTCCTTTCGGAGCATAAATTAAATCATTGACTTTGTGGAACTTGCAACAAACTTAAAGAATTTAGTTTCTGGAAGGGAAAATCATTCTCAAAGTGTTGGGCGCTTCATGGGACAGGGTTGCTAGCTTGTCTCCTGGTGCAGTTCACAAGCAAACTCTGCAGTCAACGCTACCTTCTGTGCTGTCTGGCTCTGCCTGCTCCTCCCGCTGCTTCTGCTTGAACTTCATGTTCCCGTAATGCATGACGGCCCCCGTCAGCTTGTACATCCCCACCTTCTCATCGGGGCTGAAGCCCAGGATGTCCACGGCGCGCTGCAGAGGCAACAGGCAAGTTGGGGCAGGTCAGAGAAGAGCAAGGGCTGAAGCACAAGGTGCTGTTAACAGCCATGTGTGATGCCATGGGAAGGTGGGGTTTCTCCCCCTGCCTCCCCGCCGCCTTGCCCGCACCAAGGGTGTGCAGCACCAGCCCGGCCCCGCGGCCGCCACGGGGGCTCTGCTGTACTCACGTCCGTCGCCAGCAGCTCCTCGCTGTCGTCAATACTGGCAACAGTGACTTCTCCTTGGCTCACGTAGGGGAAGTCGTAGGGGTTGGTGGAGATAAGGAGGAGATCTGCAGGTAGATGAGGCACCTTTGATGACACCGGGGCAGGTCACAGTGGAAAGGGAAAGCGCTCGCTGGGCCAAGCCCAGTACTGCTGACACTCACCAATGAGCTCTGGCTTTTTGTTGGACATTATCTGGTAAAAAATATGATAGCTCCTTTCACTGGGCAGCTGAAAAGTCACTCTGGATTTCTCCAGAAGATCTAACCAAAAGAGAGATGCCGTTCGTCTCCTGGTAAACTTGAGATCATAAATGCACAAATTCTGCATACACTGACTTGCTCCAACTCACAGGTTTCGATATCCGCAGAGGCCAGCTTGCCAGTTGTTCCAAAGTGAATCCGGATGAATTTTCCCTACCAAACAGTACAGATCAACCCACTGGTTATAGTGGTCAATGAATGAGCCATGTATTAGATGTCTGCATTCCGACAAATCTGAAATGAACTCACAAAGCGTGAGGAGTTGTCATTCCTCACGGTCTTGGCATTGCCAAAGGCCTCCAGCAATGGGTTGGCCTGGATGATCTGATCCTCCAGAGTTCCCTAGTTACAGGAAAAAAAGCTTCTTATCGAACTCCACTACAGGTTAATAACAAATATTGCAAAAGAGGTATTACAAACAGATCATTTTTACAGTTCATATGTGATTTTAACCTAAAATTTAGCAGAGTTTTTAAGCACTCATCAGCCATCACTTATGAATATTGCCATTGGTTTCAAAAGGAAGAGTGCTGAAAGACAGATCTGTATTTTGTTTCCTTCTCGTACCCGCTGTGATATACCAGGTACCATATACAGAGTCACTACAGTGGAGCTCAGGGAGCTTGAAATCTGTACAAGAGAGGTGCCTCCACATTCCTATTCACAAAGGCCATGGCAGCTAAAGAAAATGTGAAAATTCTGGGATTTTTTTCTGGAGGTTACTCCAGCCCAGGACACAGAGAGAGGTACAGCCTTTAGTAGGAAGCACCTAGCAAGGGAGAATGTAAAGTTTTGCAATTGCATTCAAACAACCAGCAGCCTTTCAGAATGCAGAAATACATCTCCAGACATGCTTCAAAGAGTGGGACATGGACAAAGCTTGAGACTCAGAAACCAAACTTAAAAAAGCAGAGAACAGAAACTCTCTGAGTTTTTTGCTGCATGACTGCAGAAGGAATGATCAACATGTAAAGTTTCGATATTGTATCACTCTTTTTAACTGCAAAAATATGAGAGGAATGAAGCTTCTGTGACTTTATGCCTCTCCTTTTCTGTGCAGGAAGCAGAGTCGCTGTGTGCTTTTTTGGAATGGTAGAGCAAAGCTTTTCTCAAGGCTTGTAGCAAAGTCATGATTGATCCCTAAGTAGTCAGGGCATGAAAGTGTTGCCAGGGATAATTTCCAGCACAAAAAATCAGGTTTTATCTAGATGAAAGATGCTCAAGTTGCTGCATCTTTGTACGTGGTGCAGCCTTTAACATCTTGGAGAGCAAGGGAGTGCCGTTCCCAACACTGTCTGCAGATGGCACAACGGGCTTAAATTAGTTTTTATTAGTCCACCATGAAGATGGACCCTATAAAATTAAGGGAACACAGGAGCATATGAAGCTCTGTCTTTTTTTTTTTTTAATTAAGGCAACACAGTAGCATATAAAGTTATATATATATATAAATAAAAAATCCCAAATCTCTAGAGTAATGCCCTCTCACGTGTATCTTTCAGCTTTCTAAATGAACTTCCTCATTTGAGAGGAGATGTGTGTGAGTGCAGCTGACTACACCAACCCCACACCTTTTTAGTGCCCCACTGTGACCAAGAAACTCACAAGGGAGCACCATGCATGCAGAACAGCATGGAAGAAGACATGGCAGTTCTTTACACAAGTTCATTCTGGATTCCTGTCTACAGGCTGGGTGACAAAGTGCTGGAGGCTGAGACAGTATTCTGGGGAAATGCTGTTACGTGCTTCCCTTATTCATATACTCTTGCCTGGCATCTGATTTCAGCTGGCATCTGAGATAGGATGCTGGGCAAGACAGAACTATAACCTGAGTGTTTTATTTAATGTTCTTATGAAGGGGCACATACTACTGTTACAGAGATCTGAATACTAAAAAAATAGAGTATTCTGTGAATAAACTTGGAAGAGGACAGAACAGGTGGTTGTCCGTCTGAGAGCCAGGTGATTTTCCTTATATCAAACATGGTCAGTACATGTCTCAGCTGTCTCAAAGTTTTTCTGAGATCAGTCCCAGCATAGTGAGCAGCTGGTGAAAGCTGAGCCCAGGAGATTCTGAAATGGTGCTGAGGAAAAGAGTGCTTGTGATGAACTCTCCTTGGCCATAACAATCCATCAATCACAAACACCTGCCTCTGAGTGCGAAAAGAATATTCAGCCTTGGAATCTCCTTAGGTTCTGCTGTGCCCTTGTGTACTCAAATAACACACTGACACGTGTCACCCACTTTGATGCACATACCATCTCACAGACCGTGGTGACATACACTTGTGCCACAAGGATGTTTGTTGCTTGCTCTGTGCTAGGGAATGAAGCCCACGCCTTGCAAATGCACCAGTGGGCTCAAATTGCAGCAGCTGGGCTGCTCAGCAGAAAGGGGCATCAGAGCATGTGCTTTCTTCCCTGGAAGGATCCTTTCTGAGGTTACTTTCTAACTGTCAGGCAAGTGGTCCCAGCTGTCCCAAGTCAGTCCCTTTTCTTATGCTGCCCCTCAGGGCTGTTACGTTCATCACAGGCAGGAGAACAAGCCGGTGCAAACTACTACCTGATGCAATTGAAATGACTCTTAACTTCAGCACAATCACTCTGGAGTTCAGAGTTCCTGCACTTCCCCTGTCAACAGATATGAAACAAGGAATAGGAATGGCACAACCACGTGCCGTGGGAACCAACTGCTCTCTTTACACTTGCAGGCACTCAGGTGCTGTGGATGTGGCTGATCTCGTAGAATACTAATGGATAGATGCATAGACAGACAGTCGGCACAGAGAAAACTGCTGTCTTATATTATCTTCCTCTCCCTGTTTAAGACTTCCCCTGTGTAAATGGAAACTGGAGAGAAACTGAGTCTTGGGCCAGTAAGAAAATGTTTCTTTAAGTAAAGTTCCTCTAAGGGAGGGAAGGAGGCCAGGTAGCAGGGGTAAACGAGTGTGGGTGTGCTTGGACTGTGCATCCTGACTGTCTCCTCAGTTGTGCTACACTTTCTGCCTTTTGATAGTCCTGCAGCCCAAAAATATGCATTCATTATTTCTGCTCTGCAGGCACAGTCTTGGTCAAACACTGGAAGGGGGAGCCAATGACATACCTGCATTTTGCCAGGCTGTTGGTCTTTCTTCTTCTCACCAGTAACTGCAATTGTTGCAAAGTACTGGATGACACGCTTTGTATTCACAGTCTTCCCTGCACCGGATTCCCCGCTGTTGAAATGAAAATATTGTTACAGGAAACAGGAAACATTTTTGCTTCTCTGTCAGCTTTGTCACACATACCAAAATGTACTCACGTGATAAGGATTGACTGATTGTTACGATCTGAAAACAAAGTCACAGAAAGAGCTGTTCAAATGAGATGTGGAGAGCTTTTGTTCCTCAGACATCACTAACTGACTTCAAGGGAAAGAACTATATTGTAACTGTATTTATCACTTTGTAGCCAGATAAGGTAAATTCTGCATTAGTCTGCATGTGGATTTTTTTTGGACAAAGAGGGATGGAGCAGCCCAAAATCTAACTCCAAGTGGTGGTTCTTTATAAGGCTTCCCACTTACTATTTGTTTTCTTTTATGTACAGACCTCAGTTTAAATATTGTTTAATTGGAATCAGATTCTCTGCTGTGTTTCTTCCTTACTGTTTCTTTAAATTCCGTACTAGGAGAGTGGGCACAAAGCCATATAGCTAGCTACTGCCTTTCCTTCATTATCTGACAGCGCAGAGGTCATTAAGGTGCCACGGGCAGACTAATCTTGACTTCTGCCAGAGGGCTATGGGAGCTGTTGCCATCAGGCACTGAGTAGAATAACACCTAAGATGCCTGAACTGTCAAGTGTTCCTTGACCAAGCAGCCAGCCCTGCATATGTCAGGGTTTCCCATTCTTGCCAAATGACTCACCAGTTAGCATGAACTGATAGGCGTTGTCAGAGATGGAGAAGATGTGTGGAGGGGCCTCCTGGCGCTTCTTGCCTCGGTAGCCAGCTACCACCTCCGGGTTGTACCCCGGCAGCCCCTTGGCCGAGTAGGTCTGCGAGGAAGGGAGACAGCACGTTGGCTTCCACTTAGCCTGGCAGAGCAGTTCCACCTAGCCGCCCAAAGGAAGACTGCTGCTGGTACTTACGTAGATCATCCAGGCTGCATAACGCTCTTTGAGGTTGTACAGCACAGCGGGTTCATGGAGGTGTGTCATCATGGCCATGTCCTCAATTTTATCAAATTTGGGAGGATTCATGGGAAAGACTTCATCATCCTTTACAGTCACAGTCTGACAAAACCAGAAGGGAACAACAGGAGAAGGAATCTAAGCCAGGGAACTGCCTGAACTGGAGGATCATGTATGAGTAACAGCTGGTATCACTTACTGTATCATCATATGTTTTAACTGTGACTTTGCCACCTTCTCTACTCTGTATGGTACCTTTCACATACATTTGCTTTTCATCCACTACAAAACAGGCTGCCTTAGCATCAAATGGGCGATTCTGGGCTTCAATTCTCTCCTTCTCAGGCTTCCGTAAATAGGGAGCAGCTTCTCCAAAGATTGCCATCTCTGCATCTGAACTCATGGCTGGAGTTGCTCTGGAGGAATGCAGAGAAGTTTCAGAGAACCTGTGCATTTGTAATTTATATTTATCCAGAAAGTGATCATGCTCAATGACTAAAAGGAAGAAGAGGACTAACCAACGTCAGGCACTTAACTTCTGCCTCAATTTTAAGTACCCACTGAAGAAGTCCTAATAAAGAAAGTCCCTTTTGTAGACAGAGGTGTCTTTGAAGATATCCCCCTTAAACGGGATGCCTGTGTGCCCAAGTGAGGGCAGAGAGAATATTAAGCTAGAAGTCTTCAGAAGCCTCTCCTGCTGTACCTTCACCTGCTATTCACCCAGCTGCACAGCCACATACTTCTCAAAGCCGCATACACATAGCCACTCAGATAGCTTGTCTCATTAGACATCTAAAAATTTAGACACAAGTAAGATCCATAAGTTAAGCAGATTAGCTCTCACACATAATTTCTAAGTGGAGGTATTATTTCCACCCTTCTGTTTTCTATCTTTTAATACCAAGCAGGGAAATTTCAACTAGCTTCTGTCTGTACCAAGCACTGGAACAAATTGCGAGCGTCAATCATCACCTATCTAAAGCCAAACATATTTATCATATGAACCAAATATAAAATATCCTTTTAGATCTGTGACAAAATTAGTTAATAAAGGAATATAATTATATTGAAGGTAATAATGAATAGCATAGTATTATCTAGGTAAATCAGTACTTGATATAACATTTCAATGAACTTTAATTACAAAGTACTTTTTAGCTTTAACGTATTATATAGACTAATATTGGTTATGAATCATTAAAAGACAATTAATGTGTACCAATCATTCAGTTAGGGATTTGTCTAGTAGAAATATTTCAGAAAACTGCTTTATGCTTGGTTTTATTTTACATTTTTAGCAATATCTAGTAAAAATTCTTCAACACAAATAGATGCTATTGGTTGCTACAGTCAGAAGGACTGACATGGATAATTCAACATCATCTGGAAATAACACAGGCAGAAATAATGTAGGCAGGAACTAGCATAAACAGAATGTTCTTCCCCAGGTAAGCTAATATACAGGCTAGCAAAAACAAAATAAAAAAATTCTAAACTCCTGCTACTTCATGGGCTGTCTGATGCACTGCGGTACTAAAACAGATAAAAGGACAGAATTGAACAACTCAAATTCCAAGGCATCACAGTACTGAAACAATCAATCAACACAGAATGATTTTATGTGCAAGAAAACGATGAAAGGAGTCTGAAGGCATTTGTAATGCTGCTTTTGGTCACATTGCTGTAGAAGTGCTGTTCTCTCTCAGCAAAACCTTTCTGCTATGGGATATGCACCTTGCAGGACTCTGAGGGACTGCATCTCTTAAGAGCCTTTAATACGCAGGAATTTCAAAGCACTGAATCCAGAACCTTTAATGTACATTGAAGGTATTCTATGTATAGAGAGGCCAGCATTTTTGCCTATGTGATCCTGCCCCTGAGTGGCTCAAGGGAAGCAACATGAAAGAAAGAGAGAAATTATTTCACAGTGTCCATGAAAAGGTTAAGCAGAGGATCAGAAAATGCCAATAGGTTATCAGAAAATTTCTCAAGGGGCACAGTCTGTTAAACTACTGAATGTCTGTGGTGGGAATAGTGTAAAATTCAGATCTTTATGCATTCATGAACAGAGAAGAAGGCATTCTCTGGGAGAATAACCTGTACTTCCATCCCTTTCAGCTCCAATATCAGTGAGTGTTTTTTGGTATTAAGATGGAAGGCACATGTGTGGACGGTTCCTTCTGTTGCTTTGGTGAACTCTCCCAGTCACTCAATCACTAACCTTCCCTAGAAAACCTAGAAGGGAATGGTGCATATTAAGTTCTCTGTGAAGGTAACTTTTTGTACATAAACATCTGCCTATCAGACAGGAGACAAGATCGTCCTGAACTTTGTCTGGTTTCAGGACCTATGTGATAAGCCAAAGTCAGCATATAATGTTCTAGACCTTACCCCAGAGAAAACTAACTGAAGGCAGGATAAGCTTAGACCCTTCTTGAATTGTACTTTGAGCCTCCTCTCTGAACACAACCTCAGTTTCAGGCTTCCAGCAGTTGTGCAGATGGCAGGGGGTGAATTTTAATTGTCTATAAATCCTGTAATCTCAGGTTACACCACAAAAATATATTACTGTCACTGTCTCTCATGTCCTCTTGGCTAAGCCTGAGTATCTGTCATTTTTCTTGCACGATAAATGGAATATTTTCTACCAAGAACTGTGAATATGCTCATATTGATTAAAATAGCATATATATCCTTTTCAGTGAACCTGGTTCTGCAGCATGGTCTTTTGACACCTGCCTTTGCCATTGTTTGGGTGAGCTTCATTCATTGCTCAGGATCAATTAGCAAAACTACACATTATTTGTTAAACCCTTACCTTCAGAGAGCCCAGGAGGAAATCTGCTTTCAATATCTCTGTGGAATGGTTAAAGAAAGGACAGAGAGAGTTAAATCAAAACCAGTCCATTGTCTCAAGCATATGTTCTATCAAACATTGAGAAACCTTGTGAGGTCTGTCCCAACAGCTGTACACAGAGCCTTACAACTCTTAAGCTAGAGCCAAATCCCACAGAAAATCTTGTGTTCTTCCCCACATTACCATGATCTGCAGAAAATAAATCTAATGTCTAGGAAAAGATCAGCTATATTACATATATTTTCCCAATCAATTTCAACTGCCTTCAGAGTTAGTTTTCCCGTGCCTTTCATAGGGCTTGGAAGTAGCAAAGTTTGTAGAAGGCCCCTCCAAGGAATGGCATGGCATGACTCTTCTGCTTCTGCTTGTGCCACCGCACTGGAGTGGTTTGGGTCATATAACCTTGACATTGCATGTAAAGCATGACCAGAAAGCAGGGAATGAGAGGAAAAGCCCCTATGTATTCCACCTCTTTGCAGAGCTGTGGAGGTGCCATGGTCAGAGTACGAAGCAAGCAGATGGGACTTACCGTGAGATGCTGAGGTAACAAAGAATAAGGTTGCCTTCAGCCGTGGCTCTTTATATGTAACCTTCTGCCCACACAGCATTCAAGCGCTCTATTTTTGGTCAATAATAATTTACTCTTTAGTTGTAAACGTGTTGAAGCTCTGATCTCTCTGCTAATTACTCAGAGACAGGATTGGTTTAAGGTTGTATGGAGTCAGCTGCACTGACCTGTTCTTTTCACATTGCTCTGTGCCAGGATGGAGGATGGAGAAACCGAAAGACAGCTCTGATAATGCCAAATAAGGCAACACTTGGGTCCTGGCTTCAAGAGCTTGCTTTAACCAACAAGAAGGTGGTTTTTTTTTTTCTAATTGTGCACAATTATTTCCTTATGGACTATGATTTTAAGGGATCCCATCATATCCTCTCTGTCTATCCACACGTGCTGATAGAGAAGGAGGAAGACTTAGTGAGGCAGAATTTTTCTCTCATTAAATTTCTTTATACCACTGTGTGGGGTGCTGGCAAGCCTGAAACCAGCCTCAAGCTTGGGACAGAGTAAGACAAATGCCAGCTTCAGGACCACAAGGCAGTCTTGCAGTCCTGGGCTGTAGGTTTACAATACCTGAGGCCTGCAGGCATACTCAAGGTCTCAGCCTGCGGGAAGGAGCCTGGCTTCTGTGCCACTCTGTTATCCTGTAGAGGATGTCATGGAGCAGGCTGAACATCTAACCAGAATAACTTTGACCTGCTCTGTAAGGGTATGTGGAAGGAGAGTGTTTCTTTAAGAGTATATCTGGTTAAGGACCGTTTTTTACACCACAAGGGGCAGTAAGAAAGGGAGGAAGCCATAAACAAGAACGTGCTGGGACACAAACCTGACTGACAAATGGTAAGGAAGGAGGTGATGGGAACCAAACCCTGTCAGTCACACTACTTGATGAAGGCATGTGAGAGTGTGAAAATGTTTATTCCAGCAAGGTTACCAGATCAGGGACCTTGTCAGTTGGGAAAATAAGGTAAAAGGGGGAACAAGAAACAATATACAGAGACACAGACCTGACAAAAGATGGAGACAATGAGAAGAAAGAAGCCTCGGTTCACACTAATTGATGGGCTATCAACAAACTACAGGTGCCACTTCCAGGAAGATCAACCTGGACTTCATGACTGATAAGACTGTGAACCAGAGGAGATCCCAGACAGGGGTGGGGTGGGTGCAGGAACTGACAGAGCTGTACAAACCCATGAGGGGATGTGTAGGGGAAGGGGGAGCAGGGAGGAACGAAGAGGGGGGTAAACAGAAAAGGGTATAAGGGACTGGTCGCATGTAAAATGGGGCCAGTCAGTGCGCTTGTCTGGCTGAGCCCTGCACCTGACCACCGCAGTCTGTCCTGTCTTCTTACATCTTCTTATTAAATCTTTTCTTGACTAGCTCTCTGTGTAATCTCACTCCCTGTCCCATGTATGTGTATGCATGCATGGACTAAGTGCCAGCCACTGGTGAGGCCTCTGTGTGTGTGTGAGTAAAAATTGGTGCCAACTACTGGAATTAGGCTGGGGGCACCCCTGGCCTGTGGTGTCAGCTGCTGGAGCCAGTGGGGTCTCATCATCAGCTACTGGAGTGAGTGGGGGTCTTTAGCTTCCAGCTGCTTGGATGGTAATGGTGTGTTCCCAAACCCAGCTACTGGGGACACTGGGGTGAGTGAGGTGAGTGAGGGGCTCAGTGCCAGTGGTTGGAGTGGGACCAGAATTAACAACCCTTGTGCCTGGTGCTGGCTGCTGGGGGGAGCTGAGCACCTGTGTCTTCCCCAGTCCCCGTGTGCATGGTGTGTGCATGTGCATTCACCAGGAGCAGGGGGGCCTCAGGTCCAGGCTGGGATATCAGGCAGGCAGGGAGTTTATGCTGGTATGCCCAGGGGGACTTGTGAATGTGGGGTGCCTGAGGGATGAGTGTGTGAGTGCTGCGTGTTTGCAAATATCAAGCTGGACCAGCTGGCAAGTAGGTAACTGTGGGGTGG